ATATATATATATATATATATATGTATATATATATATATATATACGAACAAAGTAGAGAAACTTGGAAAAAAATCCATATGCATTTATTACTATACAAGCTTGTTTTGTATGGACAGTTGTCAAAAGCTGCCCACACTCATCAGGTACAAATACATAGTGAGTAGCCAGTTTGCTATTCCATTTGCTAGGTTCAAATTTGTGAATTACCACACAAATTATAATAACTGACGTTATTTACTTTTATGCGTTTGTATAAGTTGCTTTACTCAGTGTTCATTTTTTTTTTAAATTTTCTCTGAAGAGCCCCAATGTTACACTAATTGAAAAGTTTGGGCCAATAAAACAGAGCATAATCAGAACTGAAATCTTAAAATATTTTTTTTTTCTCAACAATCATAAATGAAAGCTTAAAAATAATAAGTGTAGACAAACAGTTTAAAACTGCACGTCCATGATTCATTAGGCCTAATATATACAGTTTTTACTAGCCACACTGTGCTAATCATCTTTACCAACACGATTACGATTTTTATTATGATTTTAATGATAAATAATAACTTGATCATCATTTTATCATTGGCCCTAGCCATCATCATCATAAATTATTTTACTTAACACATGAATAACAATAAAGTTTCTATTTTTTGCATCCATATGTATATAAAATCAGTTAGCCTTAATTTACTTTTCTATCACTTTGCATTTACTAAACTATTGAGAATGCTGTTTTATACCGTAGTTCTTCAGTTGTTTTTTTTTTACATCAATTCATCATCTATCACCATGTATTTCTAAAGTAACCACGTTTTTTTCTCCGAACCTACTACACTTGACTGTCCATCATGGAGATTGAAGTCATGTGGAGAGCCGTTATGATCACTGCTGCAGCTGAGTTGTGAAACTCATTGCCTTTGTTCATTGTTCAACTAATGAATTTTATGCTTTTTACTTAGTGAATCGTTTTAATGATTGTATTTTTTATGAGATGCGAATAAATCAAATCAAATCAAATCAAAATCAAATCATTCGTTAATCTCCTTCACTTACAGTTTTTAAAGCCCTATAGAAGACTCAATCAATCAATCAATTTATTTATTAGGAATAACATCTTAAGAGCGGTGACACACGCAATAGTGGTGCATCCAAAAAAAACACCCAGTTTTTACAAACAAAAAGCAAGCTTAAATTTACTAAGCATACACGAACACAATTTTGAAATATAATTTTTTACTTAATGCTAAACAAAACAAAGAACTTAAACTAACACAATTGAAATTCAAACAGTCAGGCCAATAAAAATCATAAGCCTGACTCAATTGTCTGTTTCTAATTAATCGTATTGTACAAAACATTACTATTTTATTTCCATGCCAGTGAGTTTTATTAACTTTAATCAGGATAGGAGGCACCTACCTGTGTCTGAAGTGGCCGAGACTCAATAGGTGCTGAGTAGGGTTTACTTAGATCACAGAAAATGAATCTTATCTTAGCTTAAATAATTACAAATATTTAGGATTCGTTAGACACTAATTTATAGGCTCTTTGTCATCCTTTTCAACCTGGCCTTTCGCTACCCACCAAGTTGTATCTCACAAAATTTTCATCGTTTTGTTTATCTTTTGGGTTAAAAATTGTGTGCTTCAAATCTGTTGGTAGTTCACAGTTAAACCAGTTGCCATTCTAAGTTTCTCTCAAATCCAGTACATTGATTACATGGTCTTGTGTTCAACCGATATCGAAATGGCATTACCTTATTAAGTTCTTTTGTGAAATCTCTCAGGCGGAAACCTTCAATATTGTCAAAAGCTTTTAGAAAGAATGGAACCTCTTCTTTCACTGACGGTTTATCCGTTATCGCAAGAAACAAAATGCGCAAGTAACGAGTGAACAATGTAGTGTCGTCATAGTAATCTTTCATACCTTGAAGTATATTTGCAAGCTCACGGCGCCCTGTGTCTTTTACCATTTTATCTGACAATCCTAAGTGGTGTACCTTGAATGAATTTTGTGGATTCCCCAAATCTGCCTCTGGGCACGTGCATGTCCAGTTTAATAATTCCGTAACAAGTACGGCATGTTTGTTTGTTGTGCTCAGAAGAGGGCGCATTGATGATAGCAGTACTTTGATGTTAGTGAAATCTGCAATGTTAGACGTCATAATGCGGTCGAATTCTGGCTTAGCATTAGATAACTTAAAAAGATCTGTACAATTTTTGAGAATGAGCTTTGAATAGATCATATTTCTTCCAAAAAATATTAATGCAGATTTTATAATGCTGGCAATGTACGTATGGAATAGATCAACGATTGAGTTGGGTTGCGATACACTTTTTGCCTGGATGTAATCCCAACCATTGAATGGTAATATATCAGCTCGGATGCAGTAGACGAAGTTATAACATTTTGGTCTTGTTGGAACATGCATACCTTTATCTGCCAACCTTGGGCGTCCTGTTAGGGTAGGGTTATCATATTTTAACTCCCTTCTCTTAAGGACATATTTTGGTAAAAACAATCCTTTTTCAAAGTATTCTTTTGCAGATACGCGATACTCTTTCGGAATCATATGAATGTAAGTAGATATACCATCGGATGAACCGGGATCTCTGTCAAACATGCTAGATCTCTGAGCAGACAAATGAATGGAATTATGCTTTCCAGTCTCACATTCCATTTCTCTCCACTTTCCCCAAACCTCTTTCATCATTTCAAAATCTTTGTCCTCTACATCCAAAAGATTGTTTGTTCTACCCTTCAGCGTTTCGACAGTGTGTTCTATAAGTTCATTGAGGGCTGACATCAGGAGATGGAAATCTTCATCCGGGAGTTGAATCGAATACCATATATTCGTGATTGAGGCCTCAATATATTTTCTTGAGCTCCGAGTTATCATCATATATAGAAACAGTACACCTCTTGCTAAAACAAATGGATCGATGTCGTTTAGGGTAAACCTGATGTTACCAGTGAAGTTGTTTGGAAGCGATGCTGTTGTTAGCAGAAGATTTCGCAAGTCTCCAACACCAGCGAATAAGATGTTGTAATCTCTTGCAAGTTGAGAAGCAACATTTTTTAAAGATGGTTCTGCTTCATTGAGGCCTAGTTTCAGTACATCGATAGCTAGAGTGTTCCCGAAAAAGTAAGGGAAACCATCTATGCTATGCATTTTATTAAAATTCTGAAGATGGAATCTGTGACTTTCGGCCAACGTTTTCACTTGTTGGCGAATTTGTTTGCATTCAGCTTTGTGAGTTGGCCAATGTTTGAGTTGACATTCTCGACTGCAATAAGTGATTTCTTTGCATGCAGAACACTACAAAAAAAAAAGAAAAGCAAAACATTAACTCTTCAGTTAGGCCTATTCCTTGGTAATTGGGTTCGAAGAATTCTTATTTTAAAAATGATATTATTATGGTCATTGTAATGGACAATTCCTCATTATACAATAGCGTATCGTCATTTTCTTAAAGAAAAATTACTATTAAAGCATTGGGAAAATTCCGAATTTTATTATTGCACTTCTTTTATATCATGAAATTTATATTTTGGTTGGTGAATGACTTGGGGATCATCTTAATAATTCAACACTCACGCATGTGAATAGCTGAAAGCTACCTACAGTGTACTCTCTGGGCTGCGGTACCTCTTATGCAGGGATGGTCTCGAAAGTTCCGTTTTTTTTTTTAAGAAAATGTTTTTCTTGCTAATTCTCCACTAGACAACCGGGCAACATGAGGAGTAAATAGGCTAGCCCGGAGCGGTTTTTACTAGACATTGTATGCCGGGCTAGTACTAAATCGAGCCCTCTGTTGTGGCGAAATGGTTAAGTTGTCGCACAGTCCAGTATTGAGTAAATGAGCTATAAACTATGGGAGCTCAAAACTGCCTAAAAATCCAAATTTGTTTTTCACTATAGATCAACAGTTTAATGTCTTATTATTATTAATCATGTCCCAACGTATTAGTTCTGGAAGTGGTTAAAAAATTGTTTATTTAACGTTATTGTTCATAGTTCATTCTATTCAACAATGTACTGTATGCACAAATAATTTGAAAGGCTATTACTCAAAATCCTGTTTATAATAATACTCTAAGAGTACTGTACTTTCACTTTCCAATAACTTTGGCTTGAAATGTCCAATTTGAATGTATGACCCCTCATTTTAAAGATCACATACTCAGGTATCTACAAATACCAATAACTTGAATTTCAATTTTTGCTACAACTTAGCCATTTTGCCACAACATGCCTCATATATTTAAATAAAACGTCTTGTTACAAAACTAATAATTCTTACCAATGAGCATTTAAGTTTCTTTTTACATCTGGCACACTCTTTGTTTCTATTCCACATGTCGCATTCTACTTGATGTCTGATCTTGTCACGATCCAGACAAATAGTTCCACAATACTCAGCAATATTGCAATGAGTACATTTCTTCTTTGCTTTATTTATCTCACATCGCCAGCAACATCCACGTTCTACATCCATCGTAACCTGTTCACAGGATTCAAAATAGTAATTCCTTTTAGTTTCAGGATCGATATTGTCCACATATAACCATAGATTAATATGCTTATCAGCTATCAGGCACGTTTTCAGTGAAGAAAACTCCCAGACCCGATTAGTAAATATGTTTATTACATTGCCATAAATACAAAAATAAAATAAAAGTTAATATACATAGTGTTACTGTAAACTGCCCCAGCCCACTGCTGACAGGCATTTTAAAGGCTTAATGGATTTTGCAAAAGTACAATATCGAGGAAAATAGTTTTCACTACGTAGCCCCAGCCAGCCGCAGTGAAGTAAACTCACTGAATCTGAAATAAGTGTTGCGAGGTACAACAGGGTACCCGTAATTATTTTTGGACTGTATTGTCTGTCGTGCTGCCCCAGCCATGCTAAAAGGCCTGTGTTAGTGTATAAGGTGTAACAACAGGGTAACCAGGTCGATTTGTAGATGAAACGTTTATGAGTGTAATTTTGCCCCAGCCCTCTGCTGACAGGCGTGTTTGCGAACTACACGGCGTTTTATTGCCCCAGCTAATTGCTGAAATCTCAGACCGACATATGCGACATACGGATGTAATTGCGGGAGGCTTGTGAGTTCCATCTTCCATAGTGCGAATTTCCGCTTCGGGGCGCCTAATTTCTGCTGCCCAGGTTCCAGCCACAATTCGAAAACTATGGCCAGAGTAACGTGAGGGGTTGAGGTCCAAAAAAAAACTATTGCTGCCTTCACTCTGGACTTAACGAATGAAGGAGACTGTAGTTTTCTAAGTGTCATGGCCCGGCGATCTTTCGCCCATGTTAGTTTGTTTCTATTTTTTTTTTTAATTTCTCGAAGGGCAAACGACACTGCATGGCAACTGAGTCGACTTCGATTCCGTAGATTGTAATTTTAGGTCTCGGTGGAACCGTTTTATCTAATTTAATGGGAACGTTGATCTCTTTGCATAAAAACATAAGACGTGCTAGCATATCAGCGCAATAGAGGAGTTTTTAGGGCCGATGAAAAATAAATCGCCCAGTGAGACATTGCCCAAAACCCAAATTTATTTCCCATAATCCATTGAAGTGCAGCACTAAACTTTTCAAAGATCTTACAAGAGCTGCTAGCTCCCACCGGCAAACAACAGTCGTAAAAAAATAAACTGTCTCATTGAAATTCCAAGAGAGGATAGTCTTGTGGATTAATGGGAATGATGCGAAAAGCGTCTTGAATGTCAGTTTCTATAGCCATAAGGCTACCTGAACCATATTTTTGAACTAGCAAAGTAATGGTATCAATTGAATCGTATACGAAACCTGTGAAAGTTCGCTTGGTATACCTTCATCATTCTGGTTTATTATTAAAAACAACAAAAATTGACATTGCAGTATTGAACTGAATAGGGTCAATCTAACAAAATTAAGCAAAGACAAACAACATTCACAAAAAAAGCACAACACAGTATATATACATGCAAAAGGTATTCAATATAAAAATTTCAAAGATAAAAATTGCAACAATCACAAAAGACCACACGCTCATGAGCAATGAAAAATTCAAGTCAAATAAACAAAATTACTATAAAATTGGTTCCTAATAAAGATCATTAAGAAAAAACATTAAAATTACAATTAAAATTTTAAAATTTACAAAATTGAGATAAAATTTAACTAATACAAAAATAGAGGAAGGGAATGTCAATTTGATTTAATATGTACTAAACAGTTGAGTGAAAATAATTTTGAATATAAAAATATGAAATATTGCAGCTTTAGTATAAACAGTTGTCAACAATAAATGGCAAAGATGATTTCTTAAATATTTCGGTTCTACACACATATTTAGATATAAATGCTATTTCTCAAATTTATACGAGTTGCTATGTTACGACGAGGTGGTGGATATTCAGGCAACGCCCTGGGGATAGTCAATCCAAACTTACAGACCAGTTTGTATCTCCGATCACCGAGTCTTTATGCAGATTGAATCGTTTTAGGGCGGCGGTACAAGAAGTATACCGCCGGCCTAACACAATTCGACAAAATCTTTTCTGCACAGTCAAACGGTCAAAGAAGAATGCCACACAGGACACGCATATTCCACAATAGGCCTAATAAAAGATACAAACATTTTTACCAACTGATTTTCAGGAGCACTATGTTGACAGAGCTACCCCTTGGGAAGGACAGATCATGAATTACTCTAAATTTACCCGGGGAGGACTTGGGAATTACCCCTAGAGGAGAAACAACAAAACTGTCGAATGGAGGTGTATGAAATGGACTAACAATGCGGCCCCTTTCTAGGCCCTTGCAATATACTTGTGGATTACCCTGGGGTATTCTCGGGTGCTTTTATGGTTCTGAGATACTCCTAGAGGTGGGCGTAATGTGCAGCCGAGGTTGAATGCAAATCGAAAACCTTTGACAAGTTCAGTTCGCCGTTGTGGATTGTAGCCCTCCAAGTTAACGGGTGTAGGGAGTGTCTCCTTTGTTTGAGTTGTTGACACTAAAGTTCTTGGATGTGGATTTGCTGTTACTATTTCCTTGGGTGGAAACCGTGCTACGGGGTCGTTTGAAGCATCGTAGCTTTAGCACGGCAGAGTTGACACACGTGACTGTAGGGGCATGGGGGTGATGTACATGGGACGCCGTTGTTGAAATTGAAGCAGAAGCGAAGGCGAAAAAAACGAAAATTTTTTTTTGTGTTGATTCGGATGTGGTAGCTATCCATTTGAGGTCATCACCCCATTTACTCCACGGTAAAACCATGGACTGACGTAACAAAAAGGACTCGTCATATGTACGCCACGCGCCTTCTTACGAAAGCCCATTAGTGCCAATAAAGTATATGTTCCGTAATCCGTAATAACGAATTACTAATTCGTAATTACGGATTACTAATCCGTAATAACGAATAAGTTTATTCGTTATTACGGATTACTAATTCGTAATTACGAATTATTAATCCTTACTAATTCGTAATTATGGATTACTAATCCGTAATAACGAATTAGTTTATTCGTTATTACGGATTACTAATTCGTAATTACGAATTATTAATCCGTAATTACGAATTAACTAATTCGTTATTACGAATTAGTAATCCGTAAATACGAATTACTAATTCGTTATTACGGATTATATTCAGCTAAGAATCGCGACCTCGTTGAACACTAGCCTGGGTGCAGTAGGAAATTAGAGGGAAAAAAAGTAAAGGAAAATTTATTTTTGGTTTTCCTGAATCAATATATCATATAGTGTCCCCATTCTTAGAGCTTGGGCAATTATTTTTATAGCACTTTGAAATTTTGACATAAAATATCCTATTCTGGATTAATTAAGATGGGGTAGGGGAAATAAATGTATGTTTTTAGTCACTTTTACATATGCTATGTATATCAAATGTAACAAGAACTTGGCTAAATAGTTACTCTTCAATCTCGTTAAAAAATTTAATCGGAATGATAGCGTCATCACAAAAATCCCAAGATGGTGGCCATTTTGGCGGTAAAAACTTTTTTAAAATGTAATATCAATTTATTGTTAACAGAGCAATTTCAAAAACAATGATATACATACAACAATAAAATAAAACACACACGCATCCACACACACACACACACACACACACTCCCATTATAAATGAACTTGCTCAAATACGCTACTGTGTACTGTACTGACAAAGTTCGTACATTAAAAGAAGAGAAGAGGAGTCAAAGGTTATGGACGTCAATATGCAGCTGTCACTGTTTCCATTACCACTCTCCTATATCTTTATATCATGGAGGAATATTCCTCCATGTTTATATATAGTCTTACATCGCGCAAGATGTTAACGTATCTAATTACCAGTTGATTCGACTTGAACCTACCTCTGACCTCACAATTTTATTTCGTGTTTATTCAATTGTATTCTGTCTATTTTTAATTTTCTTCTTATAATGTCTGAGGATGGCTACTAGTAATTGCTGCTACCCACATTAATATCCCTGTGACCGTACACACTGGTAGGAATTTTTTTCCTTTTTCTTACTAAGACGGAGGGGTATACAGTAGCACAGTGTTAAAATGAGCGGGTAGAAATTAAATACTCTTGCCGGAAATGTTTTCGTTTTCTAAAGGCAATGACGTTAGGCACCTCATGAGTATCCCTTCTAACTTAACGGGTTCTCTAAGTGTTACTTAATATTGAAGTCAGACTTACGTATATATTTGAACGTATAAAGATGCTTTAAAAAATTTCCAAGGAGTTACGGTGCACAGAGCGAGGTAATTTCAATCCGCAACGAGAAAAGTGGTCCGGTTATGTATCCCCACCAGGAAATGCAATAGGTTGAAATTATTACGCCGACCGAATGAAACCCATTGGGGTGTACATACGCCCATTGACACAAAGAGTTTTTCCGCTGATGTCGGAAAATTTATTTTTTGAAACAGAATAAAATAGGTAACATTTTATGGGGAAAAAACAGTTTTTTCATTTATAGACGTAAGTTGATTTAATATGCTGAATTATTATTAATGGTGTATCCTATTATATATTTCTATAAATTAAAAAACAAATATCTCATTATTCACACTATCGCAAATAAGCCTATTGAAGTATTATTGAAGCATTATTAATTCTTTATTAAAGCATTATTCGAGCACCTTCATTATTATTATTATCATTATTATTGTATTATTATTATTATTATCATTATTAGTATTTTATATATTATTTATCAACCATACCAGGGAGTTGAATAACAACTCCCTGACCATACTAACATTGAAAACATGAATTATGTCGATAAAATTATCATAAAAATAAACTTAATAATAATATAGGATTTATAAGATTAAAATAGATAACATTTTCATTTTTTAAAAACAGGATTTGCATAGACGCAAGTTAATTTAATATATGCATTAAAGTCAATTATATAGGAATAATTAGAAATAGAGAGTGATATTGTAATGAGTTGTTTGTTTGTTCAGAGACGGATTTCTCCAAGCAATGTAAAGGGCTTCATAAGATATATATATATATATATTTGTGTCATGTTTAATGTAGTCTCGACTGACTAGTGGTACTTGGTGTAGTACAAAGGTGCTATAAGTGCCCTCTAGTTTACGTTCTCTTTCTCATGGCCCCGCCACTCTGGGACCCCCATCTGTGCGAAAGTCAGGGTAAACTCTGGATCAGCGCCTGAGAGGTCCATTATTATCACAATTTTATGCACTCAATCCCAACCATGGTGGGACTGAGGTGGCGTGGACTTTCACGCACCACCTACCGCCAAATCCTGCATCCGCCCCAGAACTCTTTTTCTCTCTTGACATCCGTTTCCAAACAAACCTTATTTCTACACTTTTTAACTGTTTTATTAAGCACACGAATGTCAACATGCAGGCCTATTTTAAATTTACTGTAACGAATTTGTAATAGGCCCTAGATAAATAAATAAATAATAAATAAATATATGTCTATCTCTATGCATTGACAACGATAATGAGTGCTGTGCAAGTTATGTTCGATCATTATTATTTAATTATGGTAAAGCAGGGGTGGATTCAGAATTTTAAAAACAATTGAAGAGGGAGGCACCAAATTGTAAGTGGGGAGCGCTATCAGAAATGGCATAACGAAACATTTTGTGTTTGTATTCTATTGTTTTTTTATTTCAATACATGGCATCGGTGTGTCTTAGTGCCGGCGCTACGTAGTTACCAACCCAGAATATTTAAAATGCGTGATTTGAAACGCGGGCTGGGGGAGCCAGCAGAGCTCCCGCCGGGGGCCAGAGTCAAACCCCGGTGGGGTTCTGGGGGGGTGCGAATCCCCCTGGCGTTCCGTCGACGATCTGAGCATTTTTAAGTTGTTTTTAAGGAGTGTTTGTTAAACAAAAATATTTTTAATAAAGACACGTGCAATTCAAGTTTCAATGTATGTTTAAATTGAGTACAGTAGAAGTACAGAAATATTGTTTCTGCTATTTGCCGATTTTTTGTTTTGTTTTATTGATTCAGAGAAATATGGGTATATAGAACGAATAGAAAATAGGTGTGATGTTTTATGTTGTTTGTTGAATAGACTTCTTTAATAATAATATTACAGTCATTATGACCACAACAAAGGAAGTCCACTTTGTAAATGTTTACCATAATATTGTACAGAGAATTTCGATTGTTTATCAATATCATCATGTTAGATCCAAATCACGTTTTATGCAAGCACCGACGAGGAAAGATTAAACATAATAATTAACATTAAACATAATGTGTGTTGATTGGTGTCGTGGTCGTCAAATGTTCAATAATAATAATAATATGTCGTTCTTATATAGCGCTTAATGCCTTAACAAAGCCTCTAAGCGCTTCACATTATTACCCCGGTCATTGGATCAAACACATATGGATCACATTGAACACTAAACGAAATTATTAAATTAACTTATATCTCCATAATATTGCAGCTAGTAATCAGCGCAGTGTTGGAACCTACCAGGTACCCACTTGTACTCCTGGGTGGAGAGAGGCAACCGTAGATAAAGTGCCTTGCCCAAGGACACAAGCGACTTGCACAGCGAGAGTTTCGAACCCCCGACCTCAAGGTTGGGAGTCCAAGCCACAACCGATGCGCCAACCACTTCTACAAATGCACACAGTCGGACAATATATGATTTATGATATCTGTTTCTATAGAAAGTAATATGAAACCCATAAAATATCAGTTCAGGCATTCATTTATCTGTCTGTGGAAAATATAACATATGAATCATAAAAAATAAAAAGAATTCAAATAAAATAAAAATATGTAAAATACATCTACACTAATTTAAAATGGAATATTCACTGCCTGTTGGACCCCAGTTTTAGTATTGCAGGGGTTGTTCTGCAGGCTTTACAGTATAACCAATCCCCGTATTTCTGATAGATCGCTGAATAAAATGTAAAATATATAAGATTTTATATTTAGTACATTCTCAAATGTTATGTAAATCTCATATATCCCAAAATTATGTTATATTCATCCACCGAAGTAGAAAGGTTAACTTAATAATTCTGATATGTTTTATGTTGAATGGTTTTTAATGATAGTCCTATTATCCAATCTAATCAGAACATTTGATAAAAGCGCCTTTCTTTGCAGATACGAAGCGATAAGGAAGTCCTCTCCATTAACTTCTAACCTACTATACTTTGCGTATATATTTTATAGAAGTCCACTCCTTAAATTAGTATATAGGCCTAATAGTATAGAGAATTTTGTCTGTCAATCTCAGATATCCTAATTTTAGGAAATTACGTTTTATGCATGCACCGACATGAAAACTTTAACCTAATAACTTTTATATGTAGGCCTATATGTTTTATGTTGTATGTTGAATAGACTTCTTTAATAATAATATTACAGTCTAATATGACCACAACATAAATCCACTCTGTAAATTTTTAGCATAATATTGTACAGAGAATTTCGATTGTTTATCAATATCATCATGTTAGATCCAAATCACGTTTTATGCAAGCACCGACGAGGAAAGAATAAACATAATAATTTCGATATGTACATGTTTTATGCTATGTGTGTTGATTGGTGTTAGTTAATAATATTACAGTTTAATGGCTTAATGTTAATACTATTACAGTTTAATAGTTTACAATAATATTACAGTTTAATGGCCCCGAAACCCGACCTGAGGCCCTTGGCGGCCCCCCTAGCCCCAATCATCAGTGCACGCGCTTCGCCGCAACCTGACCATAATGTACGGTATTATTTATTTAATAAAATAATATTTAATTTGTATACAATAAAATGTTATCACTGAGAGAACAGATAATGATGTCAAAATATTGTATATACATAGAGGCTTCATGATCAAAAGTTCTTGCCAGGATTTGGTATGTTGGCCCCTGGCGCGGCTGGGCTGCTGGGCCGCGGCTTGGTGCCTGGAATCGTAATTAGGCCGTGAAGTAAAAAGTTTGCGGAACGCTG